CATCTTGGAACCAAAACTAGAAGAAGAAGAAGAATCCTTGAATTGTCCCAGATGGGAAAATTTGGGTATAACAGCAGCAAGAAAGACACATATACAAACAAACAGTACACAAGACAAAGAACAGAAACAGAAACAATGGTTACCAAAAACAGAGTACTGTACCGTTATTAAATTAAATTAAATTAAATTAAATGAAGTTAAGAGGCAAAATCTGGTTATAGTGTGAATGGGTTGATAAAATAGTGCAAGTTACAGCGCAGATGTAAACATCTATGTTTGTTTGGAGCAGTTCTGATTGTACAGTCTGACAGCTGCAGGGAGGAAGGACCTCTGCAGAAACGCTCCTTCATGCATCGAGGATGCAGCAGTCTGCCACTGAAGGAGCTCTGCAGTTCAGCAGCATTTACATGCATGGGGTGAGAGACTCTGTCCATCACAGGTGTTATTTTGGCCAGAGTCCTTCTGTCTCCCACCACTTGCACTGGGTCCAGGGTGCATCCCAGAACAGAGCTGGCCTTCTTAATGAGTTTATCCAATTATTATTAACTAACGTATGTTGAAAGTTAGATTTTGCACGTTGATTAAAATAAGTATTACATTTAACTGACTAGCATTTCTGGAGTCTTTATTAATCCGGTTACACAGACCACTCAAAATATGAAGAAATGTCCTTGGGAGTTCGTTTTATGAGTTTCCTCTAACAGTGTAATAAAAATGATGCATGAGGTCTTTCTGTGACCCGAACTGTGAAATTTCCAGTCAAGTAAAATTAATTGAGAAAACGAAGCTTGGTGATATTGATCTATGACCCTCGCCATCATGTGTGCGCAAAGCATTTTCTGTATATTAATTCGCATATCCCCGATTTGCCCTGGGCGATATGTTAATGTAGCTGCACACTCCAGAAATAATGTAAAGATTTTTTTTTTTAATGTGGAGAATGCGCACCAAGGTCAGAGAGGAGTTCACTGCCCGGAGGTGTTTTCCGGCCCGTAAAAGCCGCCACATGCATGAAGGATGAATGGATGGATTCATGAAGGATGGATGACGACTCACGACTGGCCCCAAAGCCACTTTTCTATCCCATCATTAGGATGAGCATAATCACAATGATGGGATAGAAAAGTGGATTTAGGAATGTTAAAGTGCCGATTATCTGTGGTTATGCATTTCTAATTGTTTTGCTGGCGCTCCACAGCGGTGAGGACTTCCACCCCACGTCCAATAGCCTGATCTACGGCACCCATGTTCCCACAAAGGATGGCATTGACCGCATGGTGGAGGATGTTGAGAAACAGTAAGTCACACTTTTCACGAAAGCAGTGCCCTATCCACTTCTGACCATCAGTAAATTTTATATCTACAAATATATATCTTCACTGGGCAGACCGCTAAGATAAACTTCTGTACCCACTGATGCTCTGTGGTTACACAAAATCAAGCATGTGACGTAAAACAGAATTTTATCCACCTGTGGCTGTGTGGAAGAGAAGCCAAGCACTGGTTTGGTTAAAGCTTGGTTATTATGATTGGTTTGCACCGTCAAAGCTGCCCAAAATGTTTGATTTGTCACGTGTCTCAGGATGACCGTGGGTTCGTGTCAGTTAATTCCCTGCTTCCCAACGCTGGCACACCACAAACGCAGTGTGAAGATAAGCAAAGGCAATGGGAAGCAATCTCTGTGAGTGGAGGAATTCAACCCCGGAGCATAAATTCTGGTCCAAATGAGGATAGGAGGCAGTTCATTATCTGCCACCTTCTGACCAAGGTTTAAACGCTGGCAGGGTCACGTCTTGTTATGCCAGGAAGAGGAGGTGATTGGTTGTGCAATTTGACAACAAAGTTTGAGCAATAAGTTGGTTTTAATACGATCAAGTTGGTGACAAGCCGCGGGCTGCTAACTGCCTATGAAAGCTCCGTTGTGCTGCAGTCACACCGAGGAAAACAGTGGTTGGAGACCGGAGCACAATCAAGATACTGCAAAATAGTTGCTTCATAAGACTGGGAGCAACTTTTATGGTAATAAGACAAAGTTTGTTTGTTTTCAGCCCACGAGTAAAGGGTCAATTACATGCAGTCTGTTTGTGATAATACAGAAATTAACTTGTGTGAATGTGAAATTTGTTGCTTGTCTTCAGTCACATCAAACTTCCAGAACCTCAGAGATTTGAAACAGAACTTCGAAAATGCCTCAAGAAACTGTGATGTAGTTTGAATCACTTGAGATCCATCAAAAACAAGTTGCACCCGCTGGTGAAATGACTGTGCAAACCTTTGCTTAGTCAGTCCAAGTCCAACTGCGATTGTTTGTAGATGGGTTGCCTCACGCTGACGAGCATGCAACGTCTTCAGCCTCTGGGTGACCTGTTTCTTGCTGCAGCTGCTTGTAGTCAGTCAAAGAATGTGGAAAAAATCAGTACGGTGACAACAAAACCACCAGTGTTTCATAATAGCAACAAAGTTGCCATCCTGTTGTTAATGTGACCGAGCCATTGCTCGTCTCATAAGCGACCGCTGGTTCTCGATATGATAATCATAACATCACATATGGTGACATCCATGAGTTATGATGCTTTTATGTATTTCAAATGTTCAAATATAACATTGTTTTTTGGGGGGGTTTTGAAAATTGTTTGCAGCCAGTGACTGGATGTCTCCTCCCTTGAAATTCTCCAGCAGACCTGCAGAGCCTTGCAGATGCTTTCAGTTCAGAACTTTCAGACAGAACTGTTTTGAATAAAGTTCGGAGATCTCGCAGATTAAATGAGTGTTGGCCGGTCTGTAAGTGACCGACTAGGGCACGTGATGGGGGAACCGGGTCATAGTCGGGGCACTGTCAAACCTGAACAGCCTGTGTGCACGGCTAAATGTCAGACAGATGGTGTGATGCTTTTGCAAAGCTTTCTGATAACCACACTGGAGGCTACTTTAAGGTGGCGAGACAAAGAGGTCTAACAGTACCTTCTACCTCACCCACTTTTAATGTCACTCAGCTGAAGGTTTTCTCTTTCCTGCAGAAATCTTTGACCTTTTTGTTACCCCGGTCTTCCCCCAAGCTCTTCTATATTTAAGACAGTCGAAGGACTGTGTTGGAGATGCAACTGCAGGGCATTAGACAAGGATTCGGTTGCCAGGGTATGACGCACAACAATGCTTTGAAGACACGGTGGATGAGGAGTAGGAGCTCACAAATTGACAGTATTTTCCTCCGAGTACGTGCGCTAGGTTTTCCATCGCCACTCGGCTTGCCAAATTTAAAAATGCATGCTTCCAAATTATTGCCTGCAGCCAGTTATTGTTATTGGATCTGCCACAGTTGGAGGCCACGCCGGTTTATGAAAATGTCTCTAAGCTGCTTTTATTTTTGCTTTGTGTCAGGATTGAGAAGCGGTCCAAGTACAGCCGACGCAGGGCCTACAACGACGACGCCGACATCGACTACATCAACGAGAGGAACGCCAAGTTCAACAAGAAGGCGGAGCGTTTCTATGGCAAATACACAGCAGAGATCAAGCAAAACCTGGAGAGGGGCACAGCGGTGTAGAACGTCAGGTCACTTTAGAGCTTCGCTTTTTATTTTTTCCTTCTTGC